CGACGACGATGACGACGACGACGACGACGACGAGCGCTCTCGGGTGCCTCTTGGGGGTGGTTGGGGGGCCTCTTCCTTGTGGAGCCGTCTTGGGGGCCTTTTCGGCTGTCTCGGATGCCTCTTGGAGGCCTTGGGCCATCTTGGGGCGGCATGGAGCGTCGGGAAGCTGACAAGGCGAGACTGCCGACATCTTTCAAAAACCCAAGGGAACTCGATGGTTTGTGCCCCTTGGGGCCCTCTTTGGGAGTCCTCTTGGAGGCCTCTTGGGGCGTTTTGGAAACCTTTTGCCGTCTGGAGTCTACTTTGGCGACTTGGACCGATCCTTCGGCGATTCGGGGCTCTCGAGCACCGTCTTGGGGGCATCTTGGGGCACTTCCGCGTTCTTTTGGCACCCGAACCACCCAGGGGGGAGTCGTATCTGGGTGGCCCCCCCCCCCCGGGGGGGGATTCGAATCTGGGTGGCCAACCCCCCCCAGGACCCCCCCCCAGGGACCCCCCCCCGGGACCCCCCCCCCCCCCCGGTGGGTAAGGGATCAAAGGGAAGGGGCTCCACTTCGACTCAACTACAACGGGGCGAGGGAAAGGAGAGAGGAGCGGCGAAGGCGACGACGACGACAACGACGACAACGGCCACGACGACGACGACGACGACGACGACGACGAGTAAACGAAACAGCCTCTTCCACACGCCGACAGGGTCGGCGGATTTTGGATTGCCGACCGCGACGTCGTGGTCATCCGATTGCGCCACTCCCTCGGCCATCCCTGTCCGCCACGACAAGTACTAGGCCTTCTAAGGAGAGGGCGGGGCCTCTCATGAGCACTCCACGGTCCCTGTCTTTCGAAAAGGCTTCGAAAGCTTCTCGGAAGGCGCGAGTCATGCTCAGAAGCCCCGCCGCCTTCTGACAGTGCCTGCCACACCTGGGCTCGCCGCCGACTCAGAAGTCAGTCGTCCTCCCGAGCCCTGAGTGCGGCATGGTTGGTCATTCCTGGCCAGATGGTGCTTTTTGCTGGCAGCGCTGTCTTTCTTTAACTGGCCACAAATGCTGCATGAGCTTGCTCGCAGGTTGGAGCAAGTCTCCCTTATCGCAGGTTGGCATTCCTCCTTCTCCTCCTCCTCCTGCTCCTCCTCCTCCTCCTCCTCCTCCCCCTATCCTTTCTCCTCCTCCTCATCCTCCTCCTCCTCATCTTTCGGGAAAGCTATACAGCTGCCTGCGGCAAACCCCGCCACCGCGCATGTGCAATAGCGAGTGCAGCGGGAAGGAGGCCAAGTGCGATACTGTACACCCGCCGCCAGATACCCATCCAGTGGCCGCCGGATGGGTATCCCGCTGTGCCGGCTGGGTACCATCCAGCGGCCGCCGGATGGGTATCCAGCCTTGCCGGCTGGGTACCCCTACCCGGCCATCCAGCGGCCGCCGGATGGGTATCGCGCCGTGCCTGCTGGGTACCCAACCCCAGTTAGCGCCGAATGGGCTAGCGGCTACCCATCCAGCGGCCGCTGGATGGGTATCTGCCTGGAGCCGGCTGGGTACTTCTGCTCATCCAGCGGCCGCCGGAGGGGTATCAGCCGGGTGCCGGCTGGGTACCTCTACCCATCCAGCGGCCGCCGGATGGGTAGTATCCGTCGGGTACCGGCTGGGTACCCATACACATCCAGCGGCTACCTGCCAGGAGCCGGCTGGGTACCCCTACCCATCCAGCGCCGGATGGGTATGCCGCCGGATGGGTATCTGAGCGCCCCCCCCCCCCTGCCGCCGGATGGGTACTTGCCGGGAGCCAGCTGGGTACCCATCCAGCGGCCGCCGGCTGGGTATCTGCCCAGAGCTGGCTGCTACCCATCCAGCGGCCGCTGGCTGGGTATTTGCTGGGAGCGGGCTGTGTACCCATCCAGCGGCCGCCGGATGGGCGTCTGTCGGGAGCCAGCTGGGTATACCCCTACCCATCCAGCGGCTGCCGCATCCGCCGGGCGCCGGCTGGGTACCCCCCCCCTAGCGGCTGCCGGATGGGTATCTGCCGGGAGCCGGCTGAGTACCTCTACCCATCCAGCGGCTGCTGGATGGGTATCTGCTGTGAGCTGGCTGGGTACCCCTCCTACCCATCCAGCGGCCGCTGGATGGGTAAGTATCTGCCAGGAGCCTGCTGGCTACCCCTACCCATCCAGCGGCGGGTATCTCGAGCCGGCTAGTATACCCCTACCCATCCAGCGGCCGCCGGATGGGTACTTGCCAGGAGCTGGCTGGGCACCCCTATACTTACCTGAAGGAACGCGTCGGTTAGTAATAGTTAGTTGGAATTGTAACTAGTTAGTAATTCGTTATAACTAGTTACCGTGTCAGAGTTTTTGGAGTCACAGGTTCGTTGTTTGGTTTATCATTGAGGTTTTGTGCAATTTGTTTTTTGGGAGATTGCATGCTGTGTCTTTGCATATCGATGTTGTTTTGCTGTACAGTATGCGTTAACAGAACTACTAACGGTATTCAACGGGCCAAATTCACGTGATATGATCGCCAGCTCTCCTGTAAACCATTGGAGATTTCAACGAACTGAAGGGGATGAGAACGGGATCGCGGGCATCATCGATGACATGCCTAGACAAGTGTTCGCTTGCATGCACATGCTTTGTAATCAGAATCTGAACTAAGCTTTGCGGCGGATCGCCGAACCACACTTGGACTGCAACGTGGCCACGATCGCGACCCATCAAAACTATGTCGCCACGTTTGATTATTCCTCCATGTTCGGTGTGCGCTTTAATGGTCGAGACTGCTGCGTGCGTGCCTGGCCGCAGCTGCTGCAAAGCACTCAACAAACGTTTGCTTGCAGCTGTGGCGCACTCGAACTCGCAGTCCAGTGACAACCCGCGGATGTTTTGTAGATCGTGCATGTGCTGAGCCGTGAGCTGGATCATTACAGCCTTCTCGGGCCTCGTCTTGCACAGGTGGCCCTTTGCAAATATTTTGACATGTTTGTGTTTCCGCTCTTGGACAAAACATGATGAGGCACCATGCCTCTCAAACATATCAGCCAAGTGGATAGCCATGTGATGCTTATACACCCAATACTGGGCACCAGATGCGCGCTGGTGAAGCTCCAAAAGTTTCAACACTGCTGACTCAACCACGTCGCGTGTGCATGGCAATCGCCTCGACGCGCAGAGAATAACATCCACGGCGTCACATAACGCCAGCATGCTTGCTATCTGGTCTGCGACTGCATCGCATGATGGTATACTGGCAAAGACTTGCCTGATGTATAGAGCCAGCGCGGGAATCGCAGATAGCTCTTGCGAGGCACTCGCCTGGAAGTCTCCCGTTTCCCAGACTGTTGCAGCAGAGTGGCGTTTGGATGGCCATGTCCACTTCATGAAGTAATCGTGGAGGTCGTCGGCGCTGCACAGTTTCTTGAAATCTTTGTGCTCTAGGAGGGCCCTGACTTCCCGATCAAAAATACCACTAACGATCTATACGTGCATCCAATCGAAGCAGAGGAATGTCATCACCAAGTATCTAAGAAACGGGTCCAGTGCGACATGCGTTGGATGGAAATTCCAACCTTCCACCTGCGTCACAGATGTGTAGCAACTTTCCAAGATCGCGACGATTGTCGCGTCGGTGTTGTATACGAGTTTGCCATTGTCAAAGCAGGCATCATCAACGTATGCCCCCGAACTGTCGAATCGCGTGTAGCCGAATTTCTTGTTAAGGACGTTCCTGCAAATTGCGCAGGGCTTAGAGCCAGCGTGCCCCTTGTTGATATGAAGCTCCCTCAATGCCTCCTCGTCTCCTATCACACACGCCAATATCGCAACTATCGTTGCGTATGTTGTTGCGTCACCCAACGCAGATACATCCAGCGTGACCCCCATTGTCTCAAAGTTAACGCCACCCCGTCTATTTTTTTGATACAAAAAATGCTCGCTGAGCATCATGCGGATAGATTGCCCGATGCCCCCAGGCATGTCTTTCACCTTGGCAACGCTCGCGGTGCTGAGGGTGAGCCATAGATCTTCGTTTCGCAAGTGTTCGTCAAATTCGGCAAAAGACCAGTACACAGCATCCATACTGCGGTAGTCTTTGCCTTTCGCGAGAGGATCGCGTGGCGATATACCATCGAAATAAAAAAAAATATTCCAAGGCGCAACTAAAGAACATGGGTGCTTTTGCAATTGTTGGCGCATCAATGACCTGAACGGCCCGCTTTTCTTGCATATGGCGTACAAGAACGCCCCTGGGTTGCGCACCCAATTCTAAACTGTGTTCCCATCGGTATCGTCGCCAACAGGCATCTGCATGCCATTCAATGCAAGGCCATATGTGCTACGATCATTGACCGCATGTTTCTCATATGCCCTATATTGGGACCCCCGCGAGACAGCGTCTGGCAGCCCATTGTCACGCACGTGAGTGAGCGCGTGAGACAATGCTGCCTGGGAAACATACGGGCCGCGGTGGACTTCAACTAATGCCTCGGAGTGTGTTCGGGGCCGCTTCGGCCGCGGACCCGACGCCATGCCAGCCAAAATGCTTACGGACTGGTGCGATATGCGATGACCGCAACGCCATCGACACGAGTGAGACAGGATGCGACGATCGCACCGCATTTGTTTTACACCACAGATGCACACGCGAATACATCGCTGCAACAACAAACGATGAGATGCGCTGGCCTACGACCGATCGTCGATGAACGCCAAGGCAACGGGCCACGCCTCAGCGCGCGAGCGCACGCCGGGGCCCCACTTGATCCTCTTGTCGCTCCGCCCCACTACGGAGCGATATACCTGCTTGTCGTTCTGGGTCATGACGTAGCCAGCCCTGTAGTGGAGGTTCCCCGCCTTTGCAGGCGGCGGCAGCACCTTCGGCTTCGCGACGTGGCTTGAGGGCCTCTTCGCGACGACCTCGCCCGTGCTATTGCCCGTGCAATTGCTGCCCTTGCCGTGTCCCTTGCATGCGCTGTGGCCTTTGTGCTTGTGTTGATGCCCTTGCCCTTGCCATTGC